GGAACTCCCTCCTACCGTACTTCCCCAACCAATGGGAACTCTCCAGGAGTCCCATGGCCTGCCTAGGTGAACAGCAGGAGTCCAATATCCATATGAATGCAAATCTTAACATAATCATATCATCTCAATGGCTAGCTGGCGTCACCTTTTGACCAAAAATGCCATGCATCATATACTTGGCTCTTAGCAACCAGGTTTTTGGCAAAGCAGACAATTGAGGAATCCCCGATTGAGCAGATCCCATAATAACCATCTCATTATTAATGGCTCTTAAATCTTGCAATAATCTCCATTTACCAGATTTCTTTTTGATGACAAAAATGGGAGTATTATGGGGAGATACAGAAGGTTGTATATGTCCTTCCGCTAATTGTTGTTTGACCAGGTCATGGGCTGCTTGTATCTTTTCTTTAGTCAGGGGCCACTGAGGAACCCATACTGGTCTTTCTGATTTCCAAGTAATTTTTATTGTCTCAGTGGCCCTTTCTGAAAATCCAACCCATGTCTGTCCATTCCTTGATCTATTTGTATTGGTGCTGCTATACCTTGTTCTTGTTTTTCTAATCTTTTTCCTTTCCTAAAACCTTGTCTATCCATAATAGTGGGTGCATTTTGATTGATGTTATTTGTTAATGTCAAACCTAATTGATCTAGGACATCTCTTCCCCATAAATTTACGGGAAGATGATCCAATACATATGGCTGTATAGTTCCTTCACATCCTTCAGGATCCTTCCAATCTAATACCATTGCACTTCTATGGGGATTAGTCACCACTCCTAGGCCTTGAAGCATTTGAGTGGCTTGTAATGGCCAATGTTTTGGCCATTCTTGATGAGAGATGATGCTAAGGTCTGCACCTGTATCCAGTAGCCCATTAAATTCATGTCCTTGAATATTTAGTTTTAGCATGGGGTGAGAATCTAAATTTAAAGAAAGCATAGCCCATTCTACACCCGTGGAGCCTAATCCCTTGGAACCTCTTTCTACAGTACAACTGGAAAATTTATCATGTAGGCTGGGTATTATTAGTAACTGTGTTATTCTATCTCCTGGTGAAATTACTGATATACCCTTTGAAGAACTGGCTATAATTTTTATTTCACCTTCATAATCGGGATCAATTACCCCAGGACTTATCATAAGTCCTTTTAGAGTAGAAGAGCTGCATCCCAATAATAAGCCTACTGTTCCTTTGGGAAGAGGTCCTTTTACCCCTGTGGGAATGATTTGAACTCCCATCTCTGGAGTTAGTACTGCTCTGGCGGAGGCGCAGATGTCCAACCCTGCGCTCCCTCTGGTTTGTCTGATGAGGGATCTGATGGACAATGTGTCCTGGGCACTACCCTGATGGGGTTGCTGGGTTCCTCCAGTGCTCCGTATATTTGTGGTTTTGGGCCCCGGAGCATTGGGCCCCCCTGTCCATTTTTTGGCAATGGAGCCCGATGCCTTTCTCCACGATATCGTGGATAAACACCTGGTCCTTGTTCGTTTTTTGATAATGGAGTACCCTCTATGGTGGTTTGAGAACGGCATTCATTAGCCCAATGTCTCCCTCTATGGCATCGTGGGCAAATACCCGGTATTCTACTCCTTTGATACCTAGTTTTGTTAAACCCTCCTCCTATGGGGCAATTCCTTTTAAAATGTCCTGTTTGTCCTGGTGCTGATAACGCCAAGGTTGCGGGTTCATTCCCTGTGCAGGCCACCAAATGCCGCAGTCTGGCTGGGCACAACTCAGGAGCCACTTGTCAAAAGAAACGAACTTTATTTTTAGAACCACACACGCCAAACAAAACAGCTCCTCAGGAAAAACCTTCAGAGCCCAACTGCCACCACCGGCTTCCCACAAGCCTCTCAACCTCCCCCACTCCTCCTGCTCTTGAGGCTGATTGGCTGGGTCGCATGGGCGGAGCCAAAAAAAGTCCCGCAGTTAGCAGCTCCGTAGTCTGAAAGGGCGGGGAAACAGCTCAATGAGCATCACCGCAGAGGAGCCAATCAGCTAGAAGTTGCTGGGGCCGCTGTGAGCCAATCATCAGCTGGCAGTCTGAAAGTTTGCTGGGGCCCCTTTGGCTGTGGCTCTCAACACCAAGCTGTGCATTTGACAGTGTTTGCATTTGGATGAGAAGTTCCCAATCCTTTCTCAGTACATAAAGACATATTTTCATTAAAAAGAGGTCAGAATAACCAAGAGGACAGACAGCTAGGGGCATGACACATGCCTAAAATCCCAGAGACTCTGGAGGCTTAGGCTGGCGGATTGAAAATTTGAGATCAGTCTCAGCAATTTATCAAGACCCTGTCTCAAAATAAAAAATAAAAAGGGTTAGAGATGTAGCTCTGTGGTTAAGTGCCCCTCAGTTCAGTCCCTAGTATGAATCAATCAATCAATCAATAGCACAGACTCCAGGTTTCATTCACCTTACCTCAGCTGGTCTCTGAATCTCTTTTCCACCACTTCCATTATTTGAATCACAGGGATAATAAATGTACTTATTTCATAAGAGTGTTATGGAAACTAAATGAGTTAGTATTTTAAAGTACTTAAAGCAGTGCTTGGCATGTTAAACAAATAAATTTTCACAAGAAGGGATTAGCATCCTCTTTGGATGTATCGATTAATACTTTATACTTGAAGTTACTGTGAATTCTGGAATGCTTAACAAAATAATTCAAATTTTGTTAATCACACCAGGATCTGTACAAATTGCATGAGAGTTTATTTGTGGGAGATGTTGTTACTTTCCAGTCTGTAGATACTGTTCAGTGTGCAGATGAATCTGCAATAAATCTGAGGAGGCCTGGAGTTCATAATACACACACATCCTCCATATACTGATCCTCAATGTCTGCAAAGTAGCACCTGTAATTGGTCATAAACTGATTCGACCCTGCCCTGAATTTTTATGTGGAAGCTATACCAATATGATCTCTTCTCTCCCTCCGCAAGAAACGTGGTCCGAGATGAGCCTATAAGAACCGAGTAAACAAAACCAACCCATACTGTAGGAGTTTGGCATCCTGGAAACTTAACATAAGAAATTATTGACTAGGATACTGGTAGGATAATGCTCAGAATGCAATTAGAATTAAATAAGTTTGTATTTAATTTATTCCATTGCCTGAGAATTGACTGCATTTAATAGTGGAGTTAGCTCAGAGCAGAAGCGGGGGATGGTCAGCAAACAAAAGGTGTCTATGGGTCTTTTGCACTGTTTAGGGGAGAAGGCACCTGACCTATGAACCCAAACATTCCATCTCCTTAACACAAATATCCATGCACTGTGAAGATACATGGACTAATTACTGCATCATTAATTTTTTAAACTGTCTTCATTTATTCTCATTCGAGTTCATTAGACAACAGGCTAGTGATAACTGGCTTTTCCCATATAGGTTTGTCTAAGAGAAAAATGTGCTTAGTATTATTACTTTTCATTTTCATAAACTGGCATTCTGGATTATGCAGCTGTTACCATGAGCGAATTTATGCAATGAGTCCCTTAGGGAATTGTCAATTATAGGTGCTCAGAAGGAGTCAGCATCTAAATGAAAGATGATAGGGTGAAACTTGTGTCTGTAGGTGGCATCTTCATCTTGTCTTTTATAACAGCAGAAACCCTAACTCTCAATAGAGTTGTAACTCTGAGTTTTCCTGGTAGGGAAAGTTCCCTACTTCATTGATCTCCCCAGGAAAAGTGTGCTAAGGTATATTTTTAGCTTTGACACCCAGTTCTGGTTTTAAATCGGTGCTGTATCAATTATTTACAGTTTTAATTAACTGCCACTCACATACTATATTGACTCATTCAGTTCAACAATCATCCATCAATGATCAAAACATTTTGTTGGGAGAGGTATGGGTACAGAGTTGAATTATAAAAATCACAGAAGTGACAGGGCCAGTTGTGCATGCCTATGATCCCAGTGACTCCTAAGGATTGTAAATTAGAGGACAGCCTCAGCAATTTAGTGAGACCCTGTCTCTAAAATTAAAAATGGGTGTTGGGGCTGAGGATGTAGCTCAGTGGTAGAGTGTTCCTGGGTGGTTCCATTCCCAGGAATGAATACACACACACACACACACACACATACCTGTTGAAGCAAACTTAGTGCCCATTGTCAGATATATGGATAAGCAAAATATGGAGTGTGTGTATGTGTGTGTGTGTGTGTGTGCATGCGCGTGCATGCATACACCCACAATAGAATATTATTCAAACTTAAAAAGTAAGGATATTCTGACACATGCTGAAACACAGATGAACCTCGAGAGCATTATGCTAACTGATATAAACCAGCGAGAAAAAGATAAATACTGTGATTCCACTCATACACAGTTCTTAGAGTATTCAAACTCATAGAGTAGTGGCTAGGGGCTGTAAGGAGGTTAGATAGGGGGAGCTGGTGTTTCATGAGTATAGAATTTCAATTTTACAAATGAAAAGAGTTTTGGGGATGGATGGTTGCTTAACAGTAGGAATGTCTTTAATACCCAGTTAGCACTATATTTACAATGGTTAACGACGGTAAATTTTATGCCACCTGGGTTTTCCTGGGGGGTGGGGGGGACATGGTTCCTGTTCTAAGGTGCCTACCGCAGCCTCCCAGTGGGGCCCAACAGGAGGGTTGGAATAACACGATGAGTTACAGACTGAAGAGAGGTGAATACGGAGGAGACACATCTCATATGAAGAAACTGACGCAAAAGGTAAACAATTAAGTAATTCCCTAAGATGCTTAAAACCTGTTGATCAGAAACGTCTTATTGCTGCTGGAAAAACTGAAGTCCCAGGAGAACCAGCCCACGCTGTCTCCTGGTTTTGGTCCAGCAATTACTCCCAGAATTTAGATCCAAGAAGCCCTCCCTAAACCAGCAGATGGCGCCGGCGCCCGCAGTGCACCTCCAGAAGCACAGAGGGCGCTCTGGCCTGGCCTCTCTACCCCTCGCCTCGGCGATCCTTTTTTCCGCTTTCCCAGCCTGCCTCTCGCGGCGCCAGCGTATACTGCGCATGCTTCCATTACTGGCCCGCTGGAACATGGCGGCTTCTTTGAGTGGGGAGAAGGAGAAAGAAAGGCTGGCGGGTGGCTCGGTATCGTCTGGCGGTAACAGCACGAGGGAGCGGCTGTTGTCTGCTCTTGAAGACCTGGAGGTCCTTTCGAGGTAATGTTCCGGCCTGAGAGCCCAGATAGAGCAGGTTCCGGGTGTTTTGCGTTGGTCCCTGGGAGTCAGTTGGGCGGGTCGAGCTCAGGAATCTACGGTGCACAAGTGTCCTATGTGGGGGTCTCCATTCTTCCTGAACTCTTGAACACCATTTCCGCCCCCGCTAGAGGACATTTTAGTAATTGTAGTTACAATGGAACGCTAAGAACCGTGGAGGATGTTAAGAAATCGCTGAGTCTGAGCCCCTTCGTCCACATTCACCCAGCAGTGAAGAAATGCCTCGTAGGTACCTAGCGCTGGGAGACTGCAGAGAGGGAGGCTGGAGGCCGCAGTGGAGGTGCTCAGTGTCTAGAAGGAGACAGATGTGTAAACAAGGACGGGCACAGGGGCTGTTTTTAGAAGAAAGGTGAGCACAGGGACCGGGTACCTGTTCCGGCCGTGGTCAGGGCAGACTTCCTGGAAAGGGCTGCTTGGGAAGAGTTCGCCAGACCCATTAGGAGGCAGGGAGATGGCACAGCAAGTGCAGAAGCCTGGAAACATGAGTATGCGCGACGTGGTGGAATTTAAAGTTGTTTGTGTTGGCTGAAGTGTTGCCTGTGTGGCAGAGATAGGAGATAAATTGGATGTCATTGTCCATATTCATTTACCTTTCACGATAAACCTTTCAGATTGGAGGCTTTCTTAACGGCTTATGTTAACTTGGTTATTAAATTGCATTACTTCTGTTTCCAGATTTCCCCATTCATTCCTATCCCACTGTCAGGCAGGCCCCTAACAGTTTTACTTGCTTTCATACTTCTGTATTTTATTTTTCTGTAATAACCAATATTAGATTGTGTGTTTAAAAGGGCATCTCATATCACTTTCCTTCTAAAAATGATATTTGGTAGAGTACCATTGTCCAATGAGCTGAAGTGCCAATACCTTAGCCACAGATGGACTGAATTTGGTTATATGCACTGGTGGTCTGATAAGACCATAATGGAGCAGAAAAAAAATTATTACCTAACGACTTCTTAACTATCCTAACATTGTAATGCAAAACTTTACTTTTATGGTTATCATGATGCTGGTGTAAACAAATCCATTGTACTGCTGGTTATAGAAAAGGATATCACGCTTATCTACAGCTGATAACTATAGCTGATAATGAAAAGTAAAGGACATTGTTACTGTGTATGTCTTTACTGTATGTTTACATAGATTCATAATTATTTTTCCTTCTTTGCTGGATTTATAGTTTGTTGTATAGGATCCATGAGTTTCCTTATTAGCTAATCTTAAATGAATGCTCACATTTTTTCTTAGTAAAATGAAACTAGCAAGTCAGTATTTGGAGTAAGATATTTCCAGTAAATTATTCACTCCTTTGTTCTGTGTAACCTGGCTATCTTTGGAACAACTAATTGAAGCTTTGTTTAGTTCATATTGTTGTTTTTGTAAGTTATTAAAATTTACATTCTGTAAATGTCACCTAGTCTCCTGCTTTTCTAAATAGGACTGGTGCTCATACGAAAAATTCAGTATGCTCAGCTTAACCAATGCTTTTAGAATGATATTTTAGTTTCAGTTTCTGAGATACCTTGGAGAAGTAGCCACATAGTTCTGATATAAATTTGTGTTTCATTGAATTCCAAACAACTAATTATTAATTGGAAAGTACTGTTTCTCATGTATGAGCCAGTTTTTCCAGTTTGAATTGTGTACAGTGTTCTACTTGAAATACTATTAATCCTTTTTTTCTGGAAGAATTCTCACCTGAAGTTAAATTTAATACTTGTTGGCTTCTAAAATCTTTGCTGAGGAATTTTGGTAGTGTAGTTGAGTGTGAAATTAGTCAACTTAAACTGTTCTTTACTTTTTTGTTATTGTTGTTCATTTTGACCAGCCATATAGTATGGATGGATGGTGGGGGTCAGTTTTTCTGTAACTATAATCTCTGTGAAGTGACACCCTATTTAGAAGGTAGCTGCTGCTGTTTGTTTTGGGTACGTCTTATTAAAAATTTTTCCCTTTGAATAGTCATTGAACTATACTTCTTTTTACTTTAAAGCCCAGTAAGTTCATTTCTTGCTAAGCTTTAATTGATGTAGCATAATTTTTTAAAATAACCTGTGTGTGTGTGTTTTGTATTCACCAAGTTCAGTTTTTTCCTGAGCCTATCCATCAAGAGTAATGGTCTTTTTTTTTTCTTATTTTTATTTTATTTTTTTAGTTATAGGTGGACATAGTATCTTTATTTTGTTTATTTTTATGTGGTGCTGAGGATCAAACCCAGTGCTTCACATGTGCAAGGCAAGTGCTCTGCCACTGAGCTATAATCCCAGCCCCAGGTTAATGGTCTTTATATGTTGGACAACTCTGTAGTCAGCCTTGAGATCTTGTCTTTGTGTTGACTGCTAGGTTGGGTTTCTGAAATGTGTTTTTCTGATGCTTTCAGATTCTGTGGGTTTGCGTATACTTGATATTCATGTACTCTTCACTTGAGATAGCATAATTAATCAGTTATGTTAAATTTTAGTCTAAATTTAGATTTGACCAACTTATAGCTTTTCATATTTGTTTTCTTTCTTCTTTTTTTTTTTGCTTCATTGCGAGTATAGCATTTCCTGTTTGATAAGATGTATTTACCTACAGAAGTAGTAAATAATTTAAAATTTTTCTCAAAAACCTATTTCTGAAACTTTCTTCTTCAACTCTCCAGCTGTACATGATCAGCTGAGGTGCCGAGTTTTCTTTTGCTTTCTTTGAAAGAAACTGTAGTTCTGTTGTTCTTCTCCAGAGGTGCCAGAAAGACTGGTTTCTCTTTAATTTATAGTCTTCCTCACTGTATTGATTGACAGATTGGTTTCTTCTTTCTTCAGGTATTCTGCAATCTGTAATAATAACCATAATCTTGTAGTTATTTTTTCTTTGATTTTTGGATGACTTATCTGCTACCGTATTTGTTCATCCCTAAAGAATGACGGTGGATAAGTGAAAATTTACTTCTTAGGATCCTGAAGATGGTTGGAGGTTGGTGGTGGTAGTGGAAGAGATGTCACTTACTGGTTTGCCATCCCTGGGTCATTAGAACTTCTCTACAGAAGTTTAACCTGTATGTACCTGAGAACTCACTGTCCTGTAGAAACCATGTTGATAGGAGTCCTGAGTTTTTCACACCAGGCTCTTAATTATTTACTTATAATTTACTTGAAGTGTAGTGCCACCAGTAAAATAGGCTTTAACTTGTATGTTAATTATAGTCTCTGGGGGAAGGTTTCTGGATTCTAATTTGTTATGCCAGGAATAGACCTTCTTCCTCTGTGTCAGGGCAGGGCTCTTACCTTCACACCTATAACCAGAGAATGGGCAGGGAAGTTCCTTCAGCTTCTTTTCATAATTAAGGAGGACAGAAGTTTTTTCTTTGTCCTAGGGACTGCTATGGAACAGCACTAAATCTTAGCTCCCCCCCCCCCCCGCACTCCTGTGCCTAAGGTGAGCCCTTGGAAGACTTTCTATAAATGTTTACTCCCAGATTTGCAAGAAAAACAGGAAAAGACTTATTCTCCATTTCCCATCACACTCTCCCTTCCCTAATTACCACTACCATACCTGAAATCGCCTCTTATGAGGTTATCATCTATTACTCATCTCTGGGGTCCAGCAAAAGGTTGATATAATTCTTCATGTAATGTCACTCTAATTTATCAGCAAGTTCTGTCAGCTCTGCCTTCCAAGTATATCCTAATCTGTGTTCCCCGTTTTTATTACTAAATCCTAAAGGTTACACTCTAGTCAAAACTAGTATCATCTTTGCCTGCAGTACCTAACTTGCTTCCCATCCTGGCCCTATTATGGTCAATTCTGTGGTTGTTTAAAAATGTAAACCAGGTCACAGGTTTCCTTGTTTAAAATGATCCAGTGTCTTTTTGCATTCAGTGTGAAACACTAGTCATGTACCAGTACTATGACTATAAAGTCCTACAAACCTACCTTTTTCACTTAGTATCCCTCTCCTCAGTGTTCAGAGGATCTTTGGGCTACTGAATTAGCTGTGTCTTCTGTTCAGTATTCTTTCCTCCCAGAGTTCAAGGCTGGCTCCTGTCATTTAATTCATATCTTGCCTCAAAAAAAAAAAAAAAAAATTCTCTTAGAGAGGCCTTCCCTGACCATTCAGTTTAAGTGTCCAACTCACCTTGCAGACAGTCTTTAAAGTAACACACTGCTTTATTTTCTATTCAACTTTTATCATTCTGGTTTATTTCTATCTTCTGTATTAGAATTTAAGTACTATTGTTCATTTTTATAACCTAAGCATCAAGCAAATGCTTGGCACATAAATATTTAATGAATGAGTAGATGAATGAATGAAGACTTTGCATTTCCATGTCCACCTTTTTTCACTCATTAATTAATTCATACACAATGATATGGGGAAGTAGTAGTGGAGAGGATTCAGTTTACTTGGCACCAGTCAGAAAAATGGTATGAAGCTAGCAGGAAAGGAAGGCAGGTAAAAATACTGTGGCAGCTAAGGAGAAGGTTCAAACACTAGGTCTAACCAGAGCAGTGTCAGGTAGGTAGCCATGAAGCTGTCCTCTCTCACATAATTTTGAAAACTCCCAAATATCAGAAAGTTTGAAAGTAATACAAAATATCACCTGTTATATTTTTCCTAATTTCATACTAATTTTCATATAGGAAAATTGGCATATCTATTAAGATGGAGTTTTTTAAAGATTTTTTTTTTAGTTGTCAGTGGACCTTTATTTTATTTATTTATATGTGGTGCTGAAAAATCGAACCAAGTGCCTCACACATGCTAGGCAAGGCTCTACCACTGAGAGTTTTGTTATATGTAAGCATCCTTCTTACCTCGTGGATGTTTAGCTAGTAAATTCAATTAAAGTGGAGAATCATTAAAAAATGATTCATGCATTCCTTAATTGCTTTGTTTTACTTTAAAACAAAACTTATGTTTCATTGCTTATCTTTCATATAAGACAGGAGTCAGAAAGCTCTTTGGTAAAGGGTCAGATAGTAAGTATTTATGCTTTTTCAGGCCATATGGTCCATCCTGCAGACTACTCAGCTCTGCCCTTGTAGAGGGACAACAATCATGCACATACATAACTCACTAGGCATAACTGTCTTCCAAGAAAACATTGTTTACAAAAACTGCAGCTTGCTCAATTTGGCTTGCAGACCTCTGATGTAGGTGTTTTCCACTCATAATGCATTGTCCACATTTTCTACTTGGTTTTCTTTGAAGGGAAATGAGAATTTAGCCTTTCATCAGGCAGACTTTCCTTGAGCTTTTCTGACTTTTCCCTGGTTCTTCACAGTTGTGCTTTGCAAACCTCTGTTGAATCTTTATAAGCATTCAGCTTCGGTTTAATGGAAAGGCTTCTTTCTATTCATAGTCGTATTTTATTGGCATTTATATAATGGATATATATAACTGTGGCAATAAGTAAAACTTGTATAAATAAGTTAACACACACAACCAAATCTTGGTGAGAGTGCAGTGCGACTGGTTAGACATAGTCACTACAGGGCAGCAGCCATGGGTGTCCAGCATGCTGTGAGTACAGTGAACCAACTTGGTTGGCTTGAGAGCAGTTAAGGAAATTTCTATTGTATTTACGTTGCCAATTTTTAATTTTTTTTTGGTTTTTGTTTTAGGGAACTTATAGAAATGCTGGCTATTTCAAGAAACCAAAAATTGTTACAGTCTGGAGAGGAAAACCAAGTAGGTGGTTTCTTTCTTAATTAAGTGTGTGTGTGTGTGTGTGTGAGAGAGAGAGAGAGAGAGAGAGAGAGAGAGAGAGAGAGAATTTCTGTTTCCTATCTTTGGTTACTTTGTGTGGGAACAGAAGGTTTTTCTTGAAACCTTTAATATTTCCTTTATATCACATAAGTTTAATTGTGCTTAAAAATATTTTATTATTTACCCTTATAATTCTAGTTATAGATTTTTATTTTGTCTTTTGAATTAGCCAACAAAGATTTGTTAAATAGAAATTTAAATAATTTGTTAAATCAAAAGGAATGTTCTCATAAACTTAGCTCTTTATTGTATGCATGATTCCCTTTAAGGCAACTTGAAAATGAATGGAAATACAAGCGCATACAACTGTAAATACAGGTTATTTTGTGAGTGTTGAATTTACAGGTAGTTTTTATTATTTTTTTAATACTTTCTAGTTTTCTTTAGTGCAAAGATTTTTTTTCTGATTCTGAAATGTTTTAGGAGGTTTAAAGGAATAATAAATTTTATGTTTTCCCCACAGTCATTTTAAACAGAAAATGAATGGGGAAGATTAACCTTCTTTAAAAAGAGGTAAAAATATAAGAGGAGACAGTATAATAGACTGTATAATAGACTTCCCCATCATCTGCCTCATGATTATCTTAGTTTTATCTTTCAGCATGCTTTGAGGGCAGAGAAATTTGATGACTCAATAGAGTAGTGTTAGAGAACCTGTTTTCTTTGAGGGGAGAGGAAATTCAAATAAGGCCACAAGTGAGAGAACCTTAGGGATGTAGTATTATGGTTTTTGTTTTGTTTTTAGAAAAAGAAAAGATTGAACACATTTATTGTATTAAGATACCTCATCTCAAATAGTCTTTTAATAAATACCTATGAGTTTAAGTAGGACTTAACTTCAACCCCTGTGTGCAGAAAATGAAATCTAAGTCCTGACTTTATTTCCTAGGCACTTATTAAATGCTTGCTATGAATCAGGCACACAGAGATTGTTCAGAATGCAATCAAAATAGAACTAAGACCTGTATAATCAGCACTAACCTTCTTAAAGTTTTTAAGGAGTAGCAATTCTGCCAATTGTTTTCTTGTACTTAGTACTATGGATTCCTGTGTTATTTCATTGAAACTTGTAAATGTTAGTGAGGCATATACCCATTTGAGAGTTTTCTAGCCACTGTTTTATTTGAATTTTTATAATTTCATATAGAATCTTAGAGTTAGAAAGGATCTTAATGATCTTCAGTTTAACCTCCTGCAAGATTGAGCTCCAGGGTGAACAAATGAACTAGTGGTTATAGGAAGTGGAACTAGAACCTGGGTTTTCTGACTTCAGTTGAATAAATTTTCCCTGCTGAGCAAACTGAAGAGAGAATGTTTTTCTCTAGTAGCATACAAATTAGGTCAAACTGTAAACTTCTTGAAAGTTGTCATGGAACTAATAATGTGTACTATTTGCTTTGATAGAAATGGAAACTTAGCTTTCACCTCCTGTGACTTGGGAAAAAATGGGAATTATTGGTCTACTAGATACTATAGTTTTTTTTTTTTTTTTTTTTTTACCCCAGAAAAAGCTTTAAGTTGTTATTTAAAATATTCTTAATACATGGATAGAAGTTGAAGCTTAATTTTCTGTCTTTTATTGGTAGAGGTTCTTTAAAATGAGAGGAATTTGATGTCAAAAGTAACTTGAAAAAGCATGCCTGCAGATATTAGTCTTCAGTGAATTTTTAAAAATAGTTTAAAAATTGATTTTGGATATTTATTTATTTATTTATTGGGGGGTGGTTGTAGATGGATAGCATGCCTTTATTTTATTTGTTTATTTTTATGTGGTACTGAGGATTGAACCCAGTGCCTCACATGTGTAAGGCAAGCACTCTGCCACTGAGCTACAGCTCCAACCCTGATTTTGGATTTTTGATAGCCATTTCCTTTCTGAGGTTTTATTAAATAAAGTGAGACTTGCATCTTAATTCTGTAATAGGTAGTGATGGCAGTAACTAGCCTTTGCCAAGCTCTCTGTGTACTTAACAGAGACCCTTTATATCATGAGTCCTCAAATAACTTATGTGATAGGTACTACTAGTTTATCCCTTTTTCTAAGCGGGGTAAGTCTGAGGAGGTAAAGTCTCTCGGGCTTGGAGAAATTGGTGACTTTTCCTAAGTCACACTTGCTAGCAAATGAGAGACTAGAAATTGAACCCCAGACTTTCTGTTTTATGCATTTTATCCTTCATAGCCTTTTGCCATATCCATTTAGCACCTATTTATGCACATATTTACTGTACTTTGAAATTACTCTTTTTCAGGCCATCTTTATCCTAAGCAGTTATTTTTTTTCTAATATATATTCATACAAAGTATAATTATAAGACTAAGTTCTTGGTGCCACCTAAAATCATCTCAAATACCAAATAATGGGAGAACTTCATTACATTGTATTTTTAAAATATTTTTTTAATTGTAGATGGATACAGTATCTTTATTTATTTATTTTTATGTGGTGCTGAGGATCAAACCCAGTGCCTCATGCAAGCAAGGCAAGTTTTCTACCACTGAGCCACAACCCCAGCCCATCATTACGTTGTATTTTAAAGAATAAACTTAAAAATTTTTTTCTTCTCTGGGAAATAAATAAACCTGCTTAGTTTGGCATATTGCTAGTTCTGAAAGACTAGTTTTGTTTTGCGTGAAAGAAGAACAGAAAAAGTAGAAAATCTTGATATTAAATCTGCTTCCCAAAATAATCATTGGTAGGCTATTTTTATTATTAACATACTGTTTTAGAGATGTTAAAATTTTATAGTCTGGCTAATTCAGGAATGGATTCTTTGTCTCAATGAAATGTAGCCTTTCAATTTTCTATTGTCTGATTCAGTCAACTATTACATGACAGGTCCTGGAATTATTAATTCACCGGGATGGGGAATTTCAAGAACTAATGAAATTGGCACTTAATCAGGGGAAAATCCATCATGAAATGCAAGTTTTAGAAAAAGAAGTAGAAAAGAGAGACAGTGATATTCAGCAACTACAGAAACAACTAAAGGAAGCAGAACAAATACTGGTAAGTTGGCAGTTGGTTCTTAAAGAGAAAGGGATGTTATTAATTTATTTCTGAAAAATAGCTCTATTGTAAGTATTCTGAAGAGCAAAAACCTTGACTTTCGAAGTCTGAAAGTGACATTCTGTGAAAAACTTTGACTTTCAAAGTCTGAAAGTGACATTCTGTGAGTAAAGGCCATTATCATTTCCTTTTATACTTTCTATTTTCAGATAGTCTGAAAATTAGTAGTAAAATTGTTACTTTCTAACTACATTTTCATGATTTAAAGATTTCATAATATTGAATTGTAGAAATGAGAAGTTTTACTTTTATCCTGGTCTAATGTAAGTTTTAATTGTTAACAGGCTAAATCTGCAGTTTTTAAAATATTTCAAAATCAGTAAAAATATGTACTATTTTCATAAATTGATTAAAATTTACATTAATTGATTTGGTCTTCTATCTTAAACCAGGTGGGATTTAGATAATCTGTGAAAGATGTTTAATCTTTCCTTTGCTGTTCTTGGCTACTATTTTGAAGAGGCAATTTATTTGATGCTATTATAATTTATATATATTTTTTAGTTGTTGATGGATTTTTACATTATTTATTTATATGTGGTGCTGAGAATCAAACCCAATGCCTCACACATGCTAGGCAAGTGCTCTACCACTGGGCCACAACCTCAGACCTTATTTACTATTATTGGCTCAGTTTGTTCACTAAATACTAACTAATGAATTGTAATTTTATGGTAATACAGAAACAGCTGAGTTTGATTTTCATATGGACCAGTCATTGCTGGCATTCTTATCACCGTTGAACCCCTTCAAAAATGTGCCAAAACAGATTCCAGTATATAGTCTGAGCAGTTCAGGGATAACTTAACCACCCCTACTGAAGAAACACTCTCATGCTTTTTAAAAAATATGTCTATAATGAAATATGTTTTTCTTATGAAAGTAATATTTGTCTATCAAAAGAAATTATAAAAGTACAGAAAACTGGAAAGAAAGAAAAATTACCTTTAATCCCACAGCTTGTATAATGCCACCATTCACAGTTTGGCCTATTTCCTTTGAGTTTCAGTTGTATTTGGTATTTTACCTTATTGTAATTAGCAGGGTGCTGACAGACTTTCAAGTACTTTTTCTTGCAACTTGAATGTTCATTTTCCATATAATTATATCCTTTTTGTTTAGTTTTTAAGTTTGTGTTATAACAAATGTTTTGACGAATATCCTTGCAGATAAAGGTTTTTCAGAATTTGGATTATATTCTTTTATTATTTTTTTAACATGCTAGGATTGAACTCAGGGGTGCTCTACTCCCAGCCCTTTTTATTTTGAGACAGAGTCTCACTGAATGCTAAGGCTGGCCTCTAACTTGGGATCCTCATGCCTCAGCCTCCCAAGTTGCTGGGATTTATAGGCACACCCCACCATTCCTACCTTGGATTTAATTCTTTTGATTAGATTTCTGAAAATGATTATTTATGTGCACTAGTACCATGAGAATGGATTTTTTTGGTTAGATAATAGCAAATCATATTGAGTACTTAGGTATTAGTCCCCATTCTTTACATTTTATATGCATTATCTCAATCTTCGTAACAATTTATATAAAGTCGGTGCCAGTATTCAAATGAAGAAAGACAGGAAATGAGTAATTTGCCTAATGAGGCTAAAAAAGGAGAAGGGAATTAAACCTAGATCTCTCTGACTTCATACTTTTTAAAATACCTTTATTTTATTTATTTATTTTTATGTGGTGCTGAGGATCGAACCTAGGGCCTTGCACGTGCTAGGCGAGCGCTCTACTGCTGAGCCACAATCCCAGCCCCTGACTTCATGACTTTTAACTACTGTGTTTGTAGCTGAGGATATGCATATATTAGCTTAATTTTATTTTGTCTGTGGGTGTACCTTGGGTGATGAGGTGTTGCTTTTGTGATGACAGTCATTAAATATTGAGGTGATGTATAAATGAGTAAGAAAATCAATCTAAGAATGTTGTTTGTAAACTAGAAAAACTTAACATCTATCCTTCAATTAGATGCAAGAATAGGAATTCTGTGTGTGTGTGTGTGTGTGTGTGTGTGTGTGTGTGTGTTGCTGGGGATCCAACCCAGGGCCTTGTGCATGAAAGGCAAGCACTCTACCAACTGAGCTATATCCCCAGCCCCAAGAATAAGAAATTTTTAAATGCATGATCTGTCTCTCTTTGGCAGAGATGATAAATGACAAAACAAATTAGCAAATCATTCAGTTTACACCTTATTTCTAACAACTATTTGTGTATGGCGGGCTGGTTCATGAATATAATATTTCTTATAGTAAATAGAACTACCGTAAATGATATCAAGTGGTGTTTCAGAATATGAAGAATAAATTTTGGGGATTTTCAAATTTAGCAGATTTTTCCAGTGAATATAAGTGATCTTGTGAATTAAGCCCAAAACTATGCCTGACAAAGGTGAAAATAAATCATACTTCTTTTAATGTTGTTTAAATTAGGCAACAGCTGTTTACCAAGCAAAAGAGAAACTCAAGTCAATAGAAAAAGCAAGAAAAGGTTAGTACCATGGGAAGACTGGATGACCTGAGAAACCCGAGTTCTTGTTTCAAGAAGCTGATGAGAATATTACTGGTAATCATTTGCTGCTGTTGAAAAGATTCCCAATAAGTTTTCATTTTAAAGTGTGTGATGTTCTACCACTGTAGGAGGCATCCTTAGGGAGGTAGAAGTATCACATCAGATGATAAGAAAAAATAATAGAAGGCAATTTATGGCTGTATATGCAGATGTACAATAAATGGTGTATAAAATTGTTGAGAGAAGGAAATGAGAAGTGGGATTTGAATTGGATCTTGGAGCGCAGGATAGAGAGAATGAAAGAGAATGTCCATTGGACAATTTATATTGGGATATTTTGAAGTCAGAGCTAGCAACAGCTTTGAGATGTAAGCCATATTTAGTGATGTAGGGGCCCAGAGAGCCTTCCTGCCCTGGTCTCCCACTTTGTTCTCCCTCTTTCTCTTTCTTTAAATATTGAAGCAGGAGGATCTCAAATTCAAAGCCCTCCTCAGTAAAAGTGAGGCACTAAGCAACCCTAAATACAAAATAGGGCTGGGGATGTGGCTCAGTGGTCGATTGCCCCTGAGTTTGATCCCCAGTACCCCTCCAAAAAAGTCAAATTACTTGCCTTTCGTGACTTGTAAACTTGATTTACATTTAATCACCTCAGATTTATTGTCTGATTTTCTTTCCTCTTTCCTATTTCTTTGGGAACTAACTTTCTGACAGTTACATATGAAAAAAATAGCTAATATACTATGAGAGATGGGCCAGGCTTCTCTAGTAGGAAACAAATCTCCAAAACAGGTGATTGAGGCTAAGTTTCTGAAATCTAGTCTATAGTTTTGAGTTATTTTTAGTCCTCAAAATTTTCATACACTTACACAGTTACTTTGTTAATGGAAACAGATCTAAAGTTTATAGAATGAAAAGTAAGTTGCTCTAACTTCTCAGAGGTAGCTGCTGTTGATATTTGGTGTGTGTATTTCCAGATTTTTTTTTCTAGATCTGTGTATATGTATTAAAAAAATGCAGATACACACATGCACATATATTATAAAAAATTAGGTTATGCTATACATATTCAGCAACTTAACTTTTCATCTAATAAATATGTTGTATACTTTTCTCTGTGTCTGTTCAGAGCTTAGAGACATGTTAATCACAAAGAATAGTATGAACTGTCTGCTGATTTCATAGCTTGGATGACATTGGGAAATGAAACACTGTTTTCTCAATTTAATTTTTATCCACTGTTGCTTCCAGAGTAATGATATTTGATGGTAGTTAATAATTGAAATTAAATTATTGAGCATTATCATGGTTATTCTCCCAAATTTGTTTCTGTCAGTTGATTTTGCTGAATGAGTAATCTTGTTCCTTAGTTTGAGACTATGTGTAACTGTGTATTACTCAAACTAAGGAACAAGATTACTCAAGATAACATGCATATGTATGTGCATATGTCTGTAAATAAAATTTGGGAAGGCAGCTGGCTAAGATTATTCTATTTTCAGATATTTTAAGTATGATATGTGACTATTGTACATGTATTTCTAAACTTGTATGTTTATTAGACTAAATGGTCACATTGTCCCCTTCACCCTCAGGTGCTATCTCCTCTGAAGAAATAATTAAGTATGCACATAGGATCAGTGCAAGCAATGCCGTGTGTGCCCCACTGACCTGGGTTCCAGGTAAAAATACTTCTTCTACTAGCTGTATGTGGTTTTGAAAATTTTTAGGAGTCTGAATACAAAGGTAGATTTAAATCCAAAATGGGTTTATCCTTAAAAACATCTGCTAATGAAGATGTTTTCATATCTTTAATGTCTTATAAATAATATATGTTTTCTATATTCGGTTTTCTATAAAGCCATTTACACCAGTAACTGTATTTCTTCTCTTTAAAAAAAAAAAAAAAAGTTAGTAGCAGGGCACAGTAGCACATGCTTATAAGAAATCCCAGCGGCTTGGGAGGATGAATCAGGAGGATCTCAATTTCAAAGCCAGCCTCAGCAACCTAGCAAGGCCCTAAGCAACTTAGTGAAAGACCCTGTCTCAAAATAAAATTAAAAAGGGCTGAGGCTGGGGCTCAGTGGTTAAGTGCCCCTGGGTTCAATCTCTGGTAGTTAATAACTTAAAAAGTACAGGTTAATATGTGATGCTTCTTAAGCAATAGATTTATATGCTTATAAAACGTAGCCTGGCCAGAAGCTAATTCTTAAGAGCCATTAGGATTTCACAAAGAATCTAGTCTGAGAAACTGACAATCTCAACCCTCTTACGTGCTAAATTTAGACAAAGCGCTGAGCACCCAACAGCAAACACAACAGGCCTAGAAAGAGCTGGAATAATTAGAAACAGCAAAGAGAGTAACAAGCTGCAATTACGTTGACCATGGATAAACTATAAGAGATTTATGGTAGAGCTTCTTTGGAGGAATAAGACTGCTATTTCAACTTCTAAAATTGATGTTTTACCATGATAAAAGCATGAAGGGAAATACAATTTTGGGGGTGAGTAATCTGGAGTTGGTAAGAAACATTACTAAAAAGTTTGTCCAAATCTGGCCCTGTTTTTATCAACCCCAGACTGCCATTTAGTATGCTTTCATAATGGGAATGACATTGCTCCTGATAGTCTACTAGGTAATTATGGGAATTAATTTTTAAATGACAAGATCAAAAAGATAGAAAAAGGTTTTAATTTAGACAGCCTTTCCAATAAACATTTGAGTCCTTCCTATCTTAAAAGTATCCTGATTTCTTCTCCCTCAGAATATATATCATTTTTTTTTTTTTTTTTTTTTTTTTTACTGGAAAACCCAGTTAAGAATTGAGAACAGTATAATTTTCCTAAATTGTCATTTGGAATGTTTTCTAAAATGACTATTTTCTCATTTTGTTTCATATAGATAATGGTGTATTCTCGGGAAGATTCAGAGAAGAAACCAAAAACATGTATTTTATTATGCTTTCAATGGCAATTGATAAGATGACCTCATTCCAAAATTTAAAATGTAGCTTGAGTTTTTTATTGTGGATCAAGGAAAATTAATACTTCAATAAACATTAATTGTTTACATTAATAATTATATATATATGATTGGATTAAAAGTAGTCTTTAATTTTTAGGGGACCCACGTAGACCATACCCAACTGATTTAGAGATGAGAAGTGGATTATTGGGTCAGATGAACAATCCTTCCACTAACGGTGTGAATGGTCATTTACCAGGAGATGCCCTTGCAGCAGGCCGACTGCCAGGTAATGTTAATCAGAGGAATGTTTTCTAACAGACTAATGTTTTTCAGAGATGACAGTGATGGGCTGTTTGACTGCAAACATTTGAGATTCTAACCAACTTATTTTGATAGCTGGTTCTCTGCCAGTTTATCCTGCTCTCTGCCTATTCCATTTTAAAGACTCATTTCTACATGGAGCTTATGAAATTAGTCGTAGCTGTTTCTCTCTCTTATCTGTTAATATTCCACCACTTTCCTCGGGCATTAGACCTCTACATTTTTATTGTTATTGCTCTAAACATCATTTTTGTAGTTGTGAAATAGAATAATAAATACATATTTTGTAGATAACTTGTTTGATGTAGCAGAACATTGTAAAGTGGAAAAAATCAAAAGGAAAAATGTATTGTTTCTGATGCAGTCACTTTAAATATTTTTATTTCCTTTTTTAAATCCCTATATCTTTGCACTGTTTTAAAAAAAGTGCTATAGATACTGCTTTGTTTGCTTAACATTACATTTTAAGGATATTCTTATGTTATTAAAAATGCTTTATATGCATTATTTAGCTACCTAAAGTACAAACTGGGCAACTGTGCATATATTAATGTTAGGTACTCCTGTTCTTTCTCACTGTGATTATACTGGATTATATGCCAGTTACAATCTAGTAACTGGAGACAAACCACACCAGTTATTTGAGGAAGGAAAATTGAAAGAATTATTAACTATAGCAGGGTATTTCTAAGTTGTCAAGAGAGCTGTTTTTTTTTTTTTTTTAATAAGTACAGGAATAACAGACATGGGGAGCTGCTGCCTCACGTAGGACCAAGACACAGGACCTAAGGAAAGGACAGAGTAGGAGAGGTTTTAGTTAGTCCAGCTGTGTCATTCTGTGGCAGAGAAGTCAGATAAGGTTTTTGAGACCAGCACTTACAAGAAGGGAATTATCCACCGGGTTCCAGGGAGCCTTAACTGGGAATCCACCTATGGTATTATGGTGAAAACTACCAGGAAACCACCTTTAAGGTTGCCACTGAAAGTTGCTGAGACATGAGCACCTCTTGACCAGCCAGGCCCTGGAGAAGAAAAGGGGAGGGGGAACCCCGCCCTCTCCAGTCCCTGTTCTCTGGTTGTCTCACCAGTGCCCTCTACTGACAAAACTTGATATTGTGGCAGCTGGCAGAAGAGAAATGGTTTCAGAGTCCAGGGAAAGGTAGATTTGAAGCCAACTAGCTTACCTGTCTAGTTAATATTATAACACTCTTGTTTAACTCTTAAATTTGACTTCTTTTTCTTTAGTCTTGAGCTATACCTATTTATGTGTTCTATTCATTTTCATAAATACAATGTTTCTTGGGCCTTTCCTTATATTTCTTATACACATATTGTCAGTCAGCTGTTTTTTGATCAGAATCATTTATAATAACAGTTCTTCTAAGAAAGCATTCAATCTACATTAAATATATTATAATTTTAGTGTAGATTTTATTATTTGTTTATAATGTAGAATAATGAATGATGAACATAAGTATTTCTGCATATAATAGCATGTAATATGTATATAGATGTAGGAAGTACTTGAGTTGTAATTGTAAATCTTGCAAAAGAAAAATTATGTCAACTGTTTGAAGTCTTTTTTTTTTTTTTTTTTTTAAGAAACAGGTTCCTAGTTTCTAAAAACATAGTTTTCCTTCATCTTTTTTAATTTGATCATCGTTAATGTGACCAAATGTGTATTTTAATTTTGAGCCCTAAAAACTTCACTTCAAATTATTTGCATTAAGGGAAGAATAATTAGGAAGTGGATAAATTACAAATAGAACTGTTCTTATATGCTTCTTTCTTTCTCTAGATGTGCTTGCTCCACAGTATCCATGGCAGTCAAATGATATGTCAATGAATATGTTACCACCAAATCACAGTAATGACTTTTTGTTGGAACCTCCTGGACATAATAAAGAAAATGAAGATGATGTAGAAGTTATGTCAACTGACTCCTCAAGTAGTAGTAGTGACTCTGATTAAAACATGAGACAGCATACAGAATTGAATATTGTAGAATTCTGTTTCTTAAACACTAGCAGGGAAAGTGAATTGCTTACTTGTAAGCAGTAGCCACATAAGTATTGGCTCTGATGGAATTGTGTAGCACATTAAAATCAAAGTGGATTTTTTTTTTAAAGCCTAAACCCATGGTTTTAGTTCTAATCCACTAGAACAAATGTTTGGGATTAAACAAAATTTATTATTAAAGAAAAGATGATTCAGTAGTTCAGTGCTGCCCTACCTTGTTCTCTTCCAGTTGTGCTGGGTTTATATATAGTAGTTCCGGAAATAAGATTTGAGGCAAATAACCCATGTACATATTACTAATAGGCTTCTAGCAATTATTCAAAAGGTATTTTTTTAAAAAGCAGAGGATTACTGAATCTGCATCATATTTCATAATAAAACCACTCATTTGAAAGTAAAGTCTCTTGGCTTCTGTTGCAAGAAAAGAAGAACTTGCCTCAATTTGTACTGTTTGTAATTATTATAATTTTTGTAAATAAAGTTGCTTTTGTTTATACGTTTCCTTTTTTAATTTAAATATGTTTTCAGTGTAAGTAAGATATTGCTGTGAGTCGAATGGCATTTTATAACATTTACATAGCATTCTGGAGTGAAAATGTACATGATATAATGAATATCTGAACAAGTAATTATAGTCAATGGTAGGTTTCTCAGAGGCCCACACTTGTATTAGAAGAGATGCTTTTTAATAATTGAAAATATTTACCTTAGTCATGTCTGATTTTAAGAATAAATTGTATGAAAGATTTTAGAACAGAAAGAAACCATTCTTTCCTCTTATTCCAGATTCCCCAAAGTAATCACTCTTAACTTGTGGTTAACCTTCATATTTAAATAAGATACTTGTATAGTTATTTCCGATTTGTCAGTTTTAGTGTGTCCTTTTTCTCACTGCAAAATGTAATTAAGCTTCTGTTGTGGAACGGTTAGTAAATATAGTGAAATACAAAGGAGAAAACTGTTAGCATTTTACCTAGAGTTAGTTCAATTAATAATAGGTAATATTTTTCTTTTTAAAAATCTACATGGGGGGGCTGGGGTTGTGGCTCAGTGGTGGAGTGCTTGCCTAGCATGCGTGAGGCTCTGGGTTTGAACCTCAGCACCACATAAAAAAAATAAAGGTTTTGTGTCTATCTACAACTAAAAAATATTTTTAAAAAAATCTACATGTATACTTTTCTTTAATATGTATATTAATACTTTTCTTTTTCCTGAGATGCTGGTATATGTTTTGTTAGTAACCTGTATCTTGAATTGAGAATTCAGTATTTTCAATTTTTTATTACTTTTGATTTCTAGAAAAGAAAATAACATGTTATGGTTTGATTATGAGGTGTCCCCCAAAGCTTCTGTTAATGAAGGAATATTCAGAGGTAAAATGATTATGAGAGCTGAGACCGTTTGGATTTCAGGTTTGAAAGGACTGAATGGTAACTATAGGCAGGTGGAGCATGGCTGAAGGAGGTGAGTCACTGGGGGGTGTGCCTGGAAGAGTGCATCTTCCCTATTCCGTAAGTTGTTCTCCTATGGTATTTTGATCACAGTGACACAAAACTGACTAAAACATAGCATTTAAAGAAATCATAATTTTGCTATCTAGGATTAAGAACATGATATTGAATTTCTTTCCTTTTAGGAATATATTTTATGAATGGATAATAATTTTTTTAAAAGTCTTGCCTTGTTGGTACAGTACTAGGAATATTTTTCCATTTGGATATGTACTTTATAAATTTGCTGGCAGATACCCCATTATGTGGAATATGTCAAAATGTATCTGCTTTTTTATTACTGGGTATATATGATTTCTGTTGTAACATTTTATATATGAACTATTTTTAAAATGTAGGATACATTCAAAGGAATTTTTTTTTAAGTTTTTTTGATACTGTCTTTTCAGTTGCTGCTATAACACATTACATGTTGGCTTAAATTAACAGCACAAATTTACCTCAGAATACTTTTTTTTTTTTATTCAGAAGTTCAAAATAGGCCTCACTGGGCAATAATCAATGGATAGGGTTGCTTTCTTTCCTGCAAGCTCTGGATGTTTCTTTTTTTTTCCAGGTTTTTGAAGTTACCCTCATTCCATGACTTCTCATGCTTCATAACTGACTCTGTTCTACCTACTTACCCTTCCCCGTTTAAAGAATCCTTGCAATTATACCAGGCTGGATAATCCAGGATAATCCTTTTATCTAAAGTTAGCTGATTGTCAGCAACTTTATTCTGTTTGCTGTGTTGCTAAAGCTATGATGTTCTCTAGGTTAGCTGTATTAGATACATTTTCCACTTAACATATTTTCAGCTCACAATGGGTTTATTAGAATAAACATCATAAACCAAGGAGCATCTGTATAATAGTCTATTGATGGTTGGATGAGTAAGCAAAATGTGACACAGGCACATAATTGAATATTATTCAGCCTTACCAAAAAAAAAAAAAAAAAAGTCTGAAACATACTATACATGTGAAAGAAACCTGAGGACTTAAGGCTAAGTGAAATAAACCAGTCACAAAAGGATAAATGCTATATGGTTACATTTATATGAGGTAGTAATCAGATTCATAGAGGCAAAAAATAGGTGGTTATCAAGGGCTGAGGGAAGGGGAAGTAGAGAGTGTTTAAAGGGCATGGAAAGATGAAAACAAAGCATTGGAGATAGGTGGTGGTGTTGGATGTACAGCAGTGATATGATCAAAAAGATGTCTTGGTGTTATGGTTTAATATGAAGTGTCCCCCAGAAGCTTATGTCTGAGACAGTGCAAGAAAGTTCAGAAACAAAATGGCTAGAGAATCTTGACCTAATTAGTGAATTAATCCCTTGATTGGGATTAACTGGGTAGTAACATAGGCAAGTAGGGTGTGGCTGGAGGAGGTAGGTCATTGGGAGGTGTGCCTTTGGGATTTATATTTTGTCCCAGGTCTGCAGTATCTGCTTCCTGGTGCCATATCCTGAGCCACTTCCCTCTTCACACCCTTTTGGCATTATGTGCTGCCCTGGGTGCAGCAACAGTGAGACTTCTGAAACTATGAGCCCCAAATAAACTTTTCCTCCTCTAAAATTATTCTTGTCAGTTCTTTTGGTCAGTCACAGTGGCAAAAAAAAAAAAAAAAAGGCTTAGGCTGCTGGTATAAAATGGGGGCAGTCACTTTGGTAAACGTTTGTTTATTCCTCAAAAGTTAAACACAGTTAAATGGTATGGCCCAGAAATTCCACTTTTAGGTATATGTCTAAGAATTGAAAACAAGTCTGCAAAAACTTGTTTCTAGATTGGTCAATTTAGTATGCCATAAAAAAAGTATTCTGGTTTGAAATTCTGAGCATAAATATTTTATCTCAGTTCAATTTGTTTACTTTGTATTTACCAATACAAATTAGCTTTAATTTATAATACATAAATTTCACCATTTCATTATACAGTCAATAAAATATTAAGAAAGTCAGTACTATAAGAAAAAAGGGATGAAAAGGTGACAGATGAAGTAAATAAGGCAAATGTTGGTACTTGTTGAATGGGTTGTAGGTATGTGGGGGTTCACTGTATTATTTTCTATTTCTGGTATGTGTAAAGTTTTCTTGTAAAAAACTCCATAGCAAAAATTCCTCCCATGCCCTGTGTTTAAATGCCAGGGAATGGAAAAATTTGAACTCTTCTCAAAGCTTTGATGTTGCCAAAACTCCAATTCAGGATTGCAGACATGGAAGGAATGTTTTTTAATTCTATCATAATACTTTGAACAGAGCTGCGAGATTTAGGCTACCTGTATTAGTTTGCAAAGGATGCATAACAAAATACAACAGACTGGGTGGCTTATGCAACAGAAGTTTGTTTTCTCACAATTTTGAAGATCAGAAGTCCAAGATCAAAGTGTCAGCAGGATTGGTTTCATCTGGGGCCTGTCTCCTTGGCTTGCAGGTGGCTGCCATCTCGCTGCACCTTCATATAGGTCTTTTATCTACACACGTACATCTGGACTCTCTTGTATGTGTTCAGATTTATTTTTGATAAGGACAAAAGTCAGAATGGAAGAGAGCCCATCCTAATGGCCTCATTTTAAACTTAATCACCTCTTTCAATATCTTACCTCCAAATATAATCACATTCTCAAATATTGGGGGTTAGGTCTTCAACATGTGAACTTTGGTGAGACACAGTTCATTCAGCACATAACACAAGCTAAGAGCCTATATAAATTACTAAGTGTTTAAAGAATGTTTAACTTACTGAAATATTTGGTTTTTATTTTTGGGGGTTGAACCCAGGGGTGCTTTAGCACTGAGCTATACCCCAGTTCTTTTTATTTTTAGTTAGGGTCATGCTAAGTTGCTTAGGCTGGCTTTAAACTTGTGATTCTTTTGCCCCAGTCTCCTGAGTTGCTGGGATTTAGTGTGTGCCAATGTACCTGGACATATTTTTTTTAATATTTATTTTTTAGTTGTAGTTGGACACAATACCTTTATTTATTTATTTTTATGTGGTGCTGAGGATCTAACCCAGGGCCTCGCATGTGCTAGGCGAATGCTCTACCACTGAGCCACAACCCCAGCCCCTGGACATGGTTTTTAAAATTTTACATTTCCCTTTATTATATGTATATTTGCATGTTGAGTTCCCTTGTATAAACAACTGATCTCAGGATCTTTTAAAGGAAAGTGGTTGTTACAAGATCGGTTCTTGTAAAAGAGGCATACTTTTCCTAAATCTTTTGTTTGAATCTCCCTTTTAAATATCTTAGCTACCTTACCTTTTGTTAGTCAGCTTTTTGTCATTGTAACCAAAATACCTGACAAGAACAACTTAGAGAAGGAAAGGTTTATTTTGGCTCATGATTTCAGAGGATTTGGTCCATGGACAGCTACACCAAGGCAGAAACATCATGACAGAAGGCATTTGGGAGGGAAGCTGCTCAGCTCATGGCAGCCAGGAAGCAGAGAGAAAAGAAGGGGCTGGGGAGAAGATGGACTCTTCCAGGGTACACCCACACACAATGACCTACTTCCTTCAACTAGGTCCCTCCTCCCAGTAGTCCACCAATGAGGCCAGCAACCTCACGATATAATCATGGCCTAAAAGCCCCGCCTCTGAACCTTGCTGCACAAGGGACCATACGAACTCTGGGGGAAATTTCCAATCCAAACTATAATATCTTCTGTTTCATGGAATCAAAGAATATTAGCATTAGAGATCTTTGAGGTCGTGCACTTCAGGGATATGGAACAGGTTTCAATTATGTATCCTTTCCCAGTGAAAAGGCTTCCTAAGGCTGATTCTGGGAGCAGTCAGTGAGAAAGAATATTTGCCATACCTGATGTAGCTTAGTGCCTTCAGAGGTGCCATTCAATCATTCATTCATATATTGTAAATTTGAGCACCTCTTATGCTCTAGGCACTTCATTACATGCTGAGGATACGGCATTGAATAAGAGTAAGCCGGCCTTCCTGGAATTTATGAAACAGCAGGAAAAATAGATTACAAGCACATAAGTAAA